GCAAGAGAATTCCGGCCTCATCTTTCGACAGCAAGCCAGAAACTACTCTCCCAAACACGTAATGCAAATAATTAGGAGAGATAACCTTATTTTTAAAAGCAAAGACATTAGCTTGATTTGTCGAACCGACACGCAAATGGTGATCACTTGGCATTAGAAAGAATGGCCTGGAAAATTTAACGTCCAACTTACCAGTCTGAGCAGCACTTACGATGATGGGTGCTGGAGAAACCAATCTCATTGGTGCCCCCATACCTGCACCTGGTCTTGCATTTCCCATGACAAGTGCACCAGTTTGGTCGTAATATCCAGTTATCACCTGGTATCCTCCACCTGTATGCACGAAAAAAAAAATATTTTGGCACATTAACATACTGCGAAAATTCAATTCCTTCGCAGGTGAAGACCTCTCTGCTTTAAAGGTCATGTTGGGATTGCTTGTGATACATTTAGGCCGTGGTGGGATACTACTTACCAGCAGGAAGTGCCTGGGCTATCGTAGGAGTCTGTTGTGTTGGTGTTCCCATTTGTTCCATTTGTTGTTGCTGTGGTGTTAACGGCCTTCCTGCATTTTGACCTCTGACCATCTGCTGAGGCTGCATGTTCTGTTGCGTTGGAGTTTGCTGTTGCTGCTGCTGCTGTTGTTGTTGCTGCTGCTGCTGTTGCTGTTGTTGCTGCTGCTGTTGTGGTGGTGGGATAATGCTAACTGGGTACATAGCTGCACCCCAGGGAGCAACCCCATAAGCATACTGCGGCTGTACTATTGTGGGGGCTCCTGGACAGAACAGGGAAAGAAAAACATAAGCTCATGCACAAGGGGGACCTGTATTCAACAACTACTAATTAAAACAAAATAGCGTCAGCAATGAAGAATTATGGTAGAAAACGATGACTTCACTCCAAAATCTGAAGAGTTTCTCGATATTAGGAAAGTGCACAATTTGGACAATTAGATAATAAAGGGATTTCGTTACATATTAGTCAGCCATCTAGTTTACTGTGCAACACCAAGTTAGCATAAATAATTGAATAAGTTCATCCACTAGCAGAAATTAATTTACTCCTTAACAGTCACAGACATGACCATAAAACCAATACGGTTAATTTCAAGTGTAGCCATGGTGCTTGAAGTCATTACAAAAGTCAACTATATTAATATTTTTTTTAAAAAATCATAAACAGAAAAACTAGTAAACTAAGTAAATAATGAAAAAAAAAAAATTAACAGGGAGTATAACACACAGAAGCGATTAACATCTTGTTATCATTATTACGATACTAAAAAAAATTACTAATAAAAAGCTAACCTGCCAAAGCCGCCGTGGCAAATCCTACAGCGTAAGGGTCCTGGGTCGTGGGAGCTGTCGCGGTGTTTATAATATACGGGCTAGGTGCAGCAAAGGCAGTTTGGGCAAGGCCTAGATTCGAACACAAGCGAGGCAAGTCAGCATACATGCAAATAAAGGATTCAATTAAACACCTTAAAACATTCCAGATACTTCCTGCCAAAATATTCCGAACAAGTTTCAGAACAATACTTGAAGTACACTGTACTTCCTCCTTCAGAAGCACATGTCCAATTGAGGCACATATAAAGCCAAAATCACATTGGGTTTATAATAAATTATTAAAATACAACATTGATATTTTTGCTCCAATTTAAACTTCTATTTTCTTATTTTGAAATGAACATGCTGATGAAAATGGCACAGATGTCAGTGAAATTGTTAGTTTATTAGAAATGCGCTTCAAATAGAGTAAATATGGTAAGATATGAACCTATAAAAACACAGTTCATAGATACCAAGTACTGGTTACAGGGACTCAGACAGTCAGCTAGCAAGATGTCTCACAACTTTGCAAAACACTCTGCTTTTGCTATGTTTTAGACATGACGGCGGCGGCGGTGGCGTCGTCGTCGTCGTCATCTGATAACGTGCTATGTGTGATTTACCAGTTTATTGACATTGTCAACAGTCAATGGCAATTTTCTAATCAATGTTATATTATAACTATTTCTTCAGTATCGACATAGTATACGATTCAAGAAATATTAAAACAACCAAACTAACCAGTTTGTGTATTTCATCGAACGTGTATCATTTTGAAAAACTGCTTTACCCTAGTTCAGTGTGGTAATGAAATGAACTCAACTGTTGGCATGCAAACGGAATTGCTCATCAAGTCGAGATTGGACAAAAACCAAAGTGTTTTGCAAAGTTGCAAGCCATTTCGCGAACTGACTGAATAATTCTATGAACCATCAGAACTGGGGGGGAATATTTTGACAGAAAGTTGTGGGAGACACCAATTTCCAAGAAGTTACACTTTGATGATTAGCAAGAGTTCTGTTTTCTTGTGGGAGATAATTTTCTGAGTTGATTTGCCATTTGACAACAAAATAAGATTTGTGCAATAATAAAATATAACAAATTTATTTATTTTTCATCCAGAAACAGGTAAACACTACTGAAATAATTTCAACCATACTTATAACTATGAATCAGAACAGTCAAAACAGTCTGTTGACAAACTACTGTGAAATACTTTATTTTCGCTTAGATTGAATTTTTGCTATATTCACCAAGGAATGATTCAGTGAAAATAAAATCCAGCGAATATATTCCTATATTTTACATTCAACTTGTCAAGAATCGGTGAAAATTAATTCCAAACCAAAAGCTCAAAAAGTCTTTTCAGTGAAAATTTATTTCAGCTAAAATAAAGTATTTTACTGTATTGTTGTGTTTCAATGGCGGAATACCGGGTATACAGTAAACATTTATATCAACTTAAAATCACAACATCATATTATGTAACAGTATCAACAGTGGACCACAGGCACATTGCCAAGAAACAATATCTCATCTGGAAGTCAAACTTTCCACAAACGCATAAAAGATTCTAAGTAATAAATGGCAATCATTTCAATGCACAATGAACTTATCTCTTCATACAA